AGAAGGGGGGGGGGGGGGCAAGTGGAGCGAGGAGTTTTCACTCACCTAGGGTCTGGCTCTGCCCTGAATTCGCTCCATCGGCGTGTCAGTCTCGTCTTCCTTCCTAATGGGATGGGAAGGCACGAGGGGGGGTGGAAAGGCACGAGGGAGGATGGGAAGGCACGAGGAGATGAATGCGTCTTAGAAAAAGAGGAGTGTGGAAAGGTGAATGCACGAGGATTATGCGGGGATTGAGGAGAATGAGAGGCGAACGAGTGAATGCGCGAACGGTATGAAAGAAATGAGAGACGAGCGAACGAGTCGAGAAACGGATGAATGGACGAAAGGTATGAATGAATGAGGGGGGGAGGGGGGGGGGGAAGTGAGAAAGCAGGAAGCATATCTGTCACGCTCTCCCGTCCGCGAGGACAGGACGTGCGTCTGTGGATGCCGTCGCGACGAAGGAGGAAAGATCCGTGGAAACGGATTTAAATTCCAGTGGTTCTCGGATCGATCGATCTTCCCGGTCTTCGGCCGTCGAGGAAGTCGTGCAAAAAAATGGTGCGACTCGAGACGGCCAGGATGCGAACGCTTCGGTCGGCTGCCCTTCGGCGTTTCGGGTTTTTCCTCGAGTCTTTCCCCGACCAGAGCTTCAAATTAGGCGATGAAAGAAGTAGAGCAGGAGAAGAGAGAGGAATCTGTCTTGTCGTGCTCCATTTTCCTCCATCCGTCAGTCCGCGGCGACGACGATGATGAAGACGATGATGATGATGATGATGATGGTGATGATGATGATGATGACAAGTTGATGTTTTGTCGTCACCGCGACGCGGTTTCTCCGCGATGAGCCGAAGTCTCGGTTTTTCTGGGTCGGTGAATAGGTGAACTAGGTCATCCATCCGCCCATAATCCGCCATTAATCCGTTGGATCATCCCGACGTGTTTACGGGGCCGAAGGGTTGCACACTCGAGTAAACACATTAACCCGGCATTCCTCCCCTCTAGATATTCATCCATCTTCGTTCGTGTAATCGGCTGGAAACGGGTCATTAAATTTCACGCCGGACGAAGACTTAATAATCTCGTACCGTTCTTTGTACCATTCTTTGTACTGCTGGGATATTTTATGTCTTATCATCCGTTTTCTTCCTGTTTCTTTGCGTCCTTGAAATATTTCAGGCATTTTTTTTCCATCTCCGCAATATTTTCTAAACATGCATCCCAATAATTATTTTATACCGCTATTTAATCACTTCATACCGTCGTTTACCGCTCTTAAATCATTTATCGTATTTTTTTCCCCCAGTCTGCTGACGTCTCAGATCCGGATCCGCGTCGGAGAGTGGGACTTCGCGAGCGTCCTGGAGCCCTACCCGTACGTGGAACGCGGAGTGAGCAAGAAGGTGGTCCACCCGAAGTACAACTTCTTCACGTACGAGTACGACCTGGCGCTGGTGAAGCTGGAGAAGCCGGTGGACCTGACGCCGCACGTGTCGCCCATCTGCCTGCCGGGGTCGGAGGATCTGCTGATCGGAGAGAACGCGACGGTCACGGGGTGGGGGAGGCTGTCGGAGGGGGGGACGCTTCCGTCGGTCCTGCAGCAGGTGGGGCGAGATACCTTCCACCTGTTGAGATACCTTCCACCTTTCGAGATGCCTTCCATCTTTTGGGGATGGTCGTTTTAACAGCGGGGTTTTGGGAATTTTTCGGCTGCGGAGTGGGATTCTGGGTTTTTCATCTATTACGTTTGACTTGGTTTCTCGGAGCGAAACTACTTCGTGAGTGCTCGGGGTGTTGCTCCTCTCGGAGAAAGCACGTAACGGTGTGGCTGCAAAGATCGATAAGCCTCGAGCTTTCGCGGGGCCGACGGCCGTGCAGGGCGAGGGCGTTCGAGCCGCCGCGGATTTTCCGAGAGAAAAAGTCGCACGAAAGTGGATCGAAGGTGAAAGAGGAGACCGGAGTGGGCGTGGCGGGCGAAATAATTTTTTTTCTTTTTTTTTAGGGGGAGGGGGAAAGTCGATGCACACGGCTGGGGAATCACGGTCTGCGATCGTGAGATATGACCTATATATTCGTCTCTCCGTGTCTCTTTCTCTTTCTCGCGATGGAGGCCAGGCATTCGCCTTGGCCTTGTATTCGAACCAGTCCATTAACAGCGTCGGGCTCTAAGTGCTTTTTATCCATATCAAAGGATTCCTTTGGGTCCTGCGTTACGTCGAGACTGACAGCAAATGAAGTAATTCCTTTTTTTTTTTTCCCTCGGTGTAATTGATGGAGGGATGGAGACATTTTGCGGTCTCCTCATTACTGTAATGCTCGTCTTTTGTCGTCTCCTACACACGAGGTCCCGTTTTTCCTCTTCCTGTCCCCTTCAATACCGGAGTAGACATTAACCCCTAGGTGTTGAGTTTTTTTTTTTCTCGACCCCAATTTCTCCTTCCCGTTGTGGGTTTTGCTGTTTTGACTCTACAATCAGCTGGTTATTTATGAGGCAATATTTTGCCGGGGCGCTGAGGGATTACAGTTTTTTAAATCGCAGTCTTTGATGAGCGAGTATTTGTGCTGGTACTTATTTTCATTTGTTACCCTTACCATTTATCTAACAATTTTCCTCTTCCGTTAGGTAACAGTGCCCATCGTGAGCAATCAGAGGTGCAAGGAGATGTTCCATGCCGGAGGGAGACAGGAATACATACCGGATATTTTCCTCTGTGCCGGCTTCGACGGGGGCGGGCGTGATTCGTGCCAGGTGAGTCCTCCGGGGCTTACGAGTGGGAGACAAGGGGAAAAACACGTAACATTACAAAGACGGGAGAATTCGGAAGACATAACTTGAGAATGTGGGCCTGGGAGATGGATCACGTGGGAAATTCCCACGATTCATCACGGCTCGTGATCAGTCTCATCTCGAGAAACTGGGACGCGCAGCGATTTTTCGGATTGTCTTGGGGGTTCGGTTGACTTATTTCAGATTTTTTGGCAATGAATGGAATCCTCGCCAATTAGTTTTAATCCGATTAGCATCGGATCCACTTTTAAACATAAGAAAAGCCTCAAAGGAAAAAAAAACGCGTCAATTACGTTCCGTTATTCTCACGGAAATTACTTCATATCATTTTAATTGCTCCTTTCCAGGGTGACTCTGGCGGACCACTCCAGGTGAAGGGTCGAGACGGACGATGGTTCTTAGCCGGAATAATCAGCTGGGGAATCGGTTGTGCCGAACCCAATCTCCCAGGCGTTTGCACGCGAATTTCCAAGTTCACGCACTGGATCATCCAGAACGTGCGAAAGGGCTGACCTGTGTGCCACGTGGACGGCACATGTGCACGCGGGGGCGAATGGGACTCGGAAGGTCCTCTATCAATCAAAGCCGTCGGCCCTGCCGCCCTTCCGCCAACCACGCGATCGCTCGATGTCACGTGGTCACGAGGTCAATGCCAACTCGTGCCAAGCCGATCTTCCCTCCCTCTGTCATCGCAAGTTCTTTTAGAGTTACCTTCATGCCAAAGATGCTTCCGTTCCAATCCAAGAGACTACGAATATTGCTGCTCCATGATGTTTGTGATCGGTGTGGACAGTTTGAACATGAGAGAGAAAAAAAAACCAACACTTGACTTTTTTTCCTCCAAGGAAATTCCAAGAATCCAACAGAACTCTGGAATAAACTTTCATAAAATGTACAACCAATTTAGTTTTTTTTTCTTAATGTAACAAAGAAACTTCTCTGAATGAAGATTGCTGTGTCAATCAGTATCTGAATGTATTGTCCTTCGAAATCAATGAGGAATAGGGTAATAATCCATCTTTGAACACAAATCAAGAAAAATAGCACTCCCTCCCTACATCAGGCAAGTATAACAGCAAGAACAACTTGAGAACAGAATAACAGAACAAAATACGAAAAGAAAAATAACAATGCAACTAAGAAGCAAATAATCATAGGTTAGCTAATACTGCAAAAGAGATTCAAAGGAAAATCCAAAAGGCTCACTTGAGTGTCTAGCAAAGCAAAACAACCAAGGAGAGCATTGAGATTCAACATATTCACAGATGTGCAGTGCAATGAGGCACAACATTGGCAAAGGTCATTTGAGGCTCACAGGACATCATTATACTAGGTAGAAAAAACACTTAATACGAACTCCAAAATGGTCAACAAGGAATGCAGTTGAGCAGGGAATGCTCATCTGCCAGGTGACCAGGGAGAAGGCACTTCTTGAAGAAATTAATGCAAATCTGTCATGAGGAGATTCATCAATCAATTCAGATCTTGCATGATGAGAGTTTCAAATTTGTTACTTGAGTTGCCTGGTTGTGAACATAATGAACTTGGTATGGTTTCAATATCCCTGACTAGACCTGATTTTAGGAACACCTATTGTACTGGATTGATTATCTCATGGAAAATGCTTGAATACTGTCTCACCTGACTAGATCAGTTATAACAAAGCTGGGAACTGTCAGTTGCTCACCCACATGAACCTGCTGCCTGGAATAAGAAGCATACGGATTAATTCTTGTGAGCAGAGGTCACCCCAATGACAAGATAAAATAAAATGACATGAGTTCAAGAAGATCACCTGGGAAGAGATGGGTTCAATCTGCCTTTTGTCCTTCAGCTGCAAAGAACACCTTTTGCATCAGGCAGGTGAAGCCATCTGCAAGAAAAGCATCACAAGGGAAAGTATTAGTAACAAAAAAAGTATTGGAACTCCATAGTATATGAGGCATTCTTCACTTTAAGGAACTGGGACATACTTGTCCAGAAATGAAAGTGGCACAGTATCCTCTCCATGCTCATGGTGAGCAGGCAAAGCACAAAAGTCATAAGCCTACATAGACTACAAAAGAAATGCAAAATCAACATCATAAGGGTTTCATTACTTTTGAGAGTATCACATATGTCTGGACCTTATGTTAAATGGGACTCAACATATGAAAATTTTGAAAGTTCAACTATTGTTGCTACTTCAAGAAAATTTTGTGGCTGCACAACGATGCAGTTGCTAAAGGTTGTACATGGCATGTGTAACAATCTGGCAGGCAAATCATTTCCAAATCAATCAATGTGTAGTTTCAGTCACAGATGGAAATTCCTTGAATTATATCACAGTCATCCGATAATTTGTCGTACTATAGAAAGTCAGGAAAGCAGATTCTGCATGAACAGCAGAATTCTTATTGGTGACATTCACAGTGACAACAACAAATTCAAAAGGTCTGCTTTAAATTAGCTCAATCCTCTGGAGACCTCTGGTGAAGTGTTTGGAACCCCATTTAACCCATCTGCATCAACCTTGATTTGGTCCAGCTAGTTTTTTTTCACAGGCACAGAGTCTCCCAATCCATCCCACATCAGTATACGGCTGCATGCACTGGAGCATGTGAGAATGATTTGACCAACAGAAGCAAAAAAAACGTTTATTTGAACTCATGTTGCTGGAATTCATGTTTTCCCAATAGACAATTTTAAAGGGCAATGTTTCCTAGAACCAGTACCCAAAGGAATCAAGAATGTTCTAGAATTGGTCTATGGACCAAACATTTGGCATAGGTAGGGCCAGAGAGCAGACATCAAGATCATTAGGTAAATAAATATGTTACATATGTACCCACATATCTGTGCCTGAATCAGGTTCTGATAGTTTTCCTTCAAAGGTATGAAAATATTAACCCTTGAAAAAATGCAACTATCACCTGCAACTTCTAGAATTAGGAAAATTTTCAATTCTCAGGAAAAGTTGTATGATTTTTAGGGATTTTTTTTGGCAATGAGAAAAGATGTGGTGTAAGCTTGTACAATTGTGGGTGTGAGTAAAATATATATATTTTTAAATATAATTTCTTTCACTCCGGTTGGCCCAGACTGTCTGCATCTAGTGAAACTAAGCCAGAGACCTGATACATTTTCTCTCCAATTCATCTGTCAACACTCGACAGTAGCTAAGATGCATGTGATTGGTTTTTTTTGTGGCTTCTCTTGTGGTGCAGTGAGACAATAGATTTTGGAAATAAACAAGGAGACTGCACTATGCACAGGTTTTTTCTTCTTCAGTCTAGCTTGATTGTTTCCTTAGATATGGTTGCTCAATGAACACTGCATACCAGTATGTGCCTAGCAATAAGGGCCAGGCACTGTGTGACAAACCTGTACATCTTCGGTGATTGCAGCCAGGCAAAAAGCATGTACATCTGCTCCAGCAGATGGGTTAAAGAACTTCAAATACCCCTAGGTGACCAAGCCCTTGAGAAGATCTCAAAAACAACTCATGACAATTCAAGGGAACTCACAGGATAGATTATCGAGACACTGTGGTCTTTTCTTCATGTAGACAAAGATGAAATAGATGGGAACCCCAGCAGCTGAGATTGCAATGGCCATGAGAACTTCAAATGGTCTCTCTTTGAGTGGCATCACCACAAGAAATGTGCAGATAGACAAGAAGATCAGAGGGATCAACAGGTTCACCTACACATCCATACATAATCACTCTTTCTCAAGTCTTTCATAGAGAAGGGGGAAGATGAAGGCATGAAATGGACCTTGATGGGACGTTGAAGGTCTGGTCGTTTCCAGCGGAGATAGAGGAGGCTGAGGATGGAAAGTGTGATGAAGAAGGACTCGACAAATGAGGAATATTCTATCAGACGATAGATGTCTGTCGTAAACAGCATCATCAGTGAGAGAATGCCCTATAAAGAGTATACCATTCCTTGATATAGAAATCCAAGAAAATAAATTATACATGAATCATGGTCATATTTAAAAAATCCATACATAAGGATCTACAGGGTAATTGGTCAATAATCATCAGAAAGGTACCCAGCTGATGAATAGTTTCATGAAAACTTCTCCAAGAAATGTTTAGTCAAAAGCAGATAGATACCAATAGATCTGAAATCATTACTGAATAAGGAGGACCCTTCTTTCATGCTCCACAGTCATTGATGTATGAATAATATTGACAAAGATTCTATTAAAATCCAACTTGAGAAGAGATTCATGGGTCTGACTTCTACAGGAATCAAATTTGAGACAATCCTAATCAGATTAAACTTCATTTATAAGGCAAAGATTTTAAAATTCTTCTAACTCCTTTTCCTCTGACAGTCTATGTTATTGAAACCTTACTAAGCAAGGGTCATGGCAACACTTCATAGCATTGGCTGGCCGAATTTGAACTTCCTACTGTCTTGGTCATGTGAGGACCCAAAAGACAGAGTCTGCCTACTAAAAGAATTTTCTGAGAGGCTGGTAAGCATCCCTCCCAGCCAGGACCTTATTTGGGACATTCCAAAGATACTGACGTAACACCAGATTCAAAATAAAAACAAGTATGATGGTATACCTAGGAGATGCTTTGGTCCAGAAATACTACTTTCAACAGTGACTTGTAGAACAAAGAAGCTTGCACCTATTCCAGTCAAAAATGTCTCATTTCTTCCATGGATGAAGAAAAGTAAGGCCATCCATTTTGTGTTACTGATGTGACAGTTTAAGGACAACAGTTTTCATTCTGCAGCTTCTTTTCCAATTCTGTCTGACATGGCTTGACCTGGAGCTTCTTTATTTTTTTATTATTAGAAAGTAAGCATACACCATTTTAAGAAAGAAAGTATAACCTTTCTTAATGCCAAATAACATTGTTGTTGATCAAATGAATGTTGTACAAGAAATGAAAAACTCTCTCATGTCAGGTGATGTATGTTTAGTGGATCCCTTATTAAGTCTAAGTTTAGTATTCATGCAATACAGAAAAATTAAGTAGGAGAAAATTTTTGGAAAATACTTCTAAACCACTTTTGTCCCAATTACACTGGAACTGCCCATTCTGGATCACAAGCGTTTTGAATCCTGAAATGGAGATTTGAACTGCCTTCCACAAGAGGGTCTGGCTTCAGTATTCACATTTGACAGCCCATAGCATAACATTTTGTAAAAGCAACAGAGGCTAGTGGACATTATTTTCACTTCATAGATGTGCCATCATGGTAACACACATATCAAAATGGCATTCATACACCTATCACCTAACTCAGCATCACATGATTAGCATGATTTTCTCTTAGTAAGAATCACTACTTCCTGAAATGAGCAGTCTTTTCCTGATTTGGTTTAACTTCTGTTGAAAACACAAAAACAACCTTTGTGTGGGTATGGAAAATTTTTTGTGGGATTCAAAGGCAATAACACAAAAATGCAATTACAAAATTACAAATTACAAATGCAATTACAAAATTACAAAAGCAATTACAAAATTACAAAAGCAATTACAAAATTACAAAAGCAATTACAAAATTACAAAAGCAATTACAAAATTACAAAAGCAATTACAAAATTACAAAAGCAATTACACAAAATATGCAAAAGCAGTAAAAAAATAAAAGCAATCAAGAAAAGAGAGGGAGCTCAGACCAGGAAGACAAGAGAGAGAGCAGGGGTGGCATGGTGGATGGAGATGAGAGCCAGGGACTGGGGCAGCATACCCTCCCTGGCACCCACAAAACAGAGTCGGGAGGATGTCATGATGTGGACGCAAAGGCTTCCAAATGACGACACGGCCACAAAAACTGGCATCACCCAATACATCACTCCCAGTACTTGTTCCCCAAATGTCTACAAAGAAACATCAACTGCATTTAGGGGAGGAAAGGAAAGGGATAAGAGATAAAAGGGGGAAATCAGGCTTCTAAGTTTTATGCACAAATGAGACTGACTTTGGAAAATATTTTAAATCAAGATATGCTTGATCATGTAGGCATCCTTATTACATCAAGTCATGTGGCTTGTTGAAAGAAACCCATAATAAACTGTATGTTGAACTGCATAAGCTCATGGACTTCAATCTTAGCTCCATCATCCTCTACCACCTTGCCCAAAGACAAGCTTAGCATGATTTCATGAAGATCTATGAGTGTCATGAATTGCACCATTAAGCATATTTCTCCACCAGACAAAAACAAAGTTCACCAGCTACAAACTTCAAGCTGTCAGAGATTGCCCCAAAGTATATGACTCCTAAAATTACCTCATCTACTGAAGCCAAGCTTTCCAGATAATCACTCACTGCATGACAATAAGCAAGAGAGTTAATGATGTTGCAGCCACCCGAGGGGCAAGAGGGGAGATCACCAACATCATTTATCAAGGGCCAAAGTGGATTCCTTCCTTCTCTTTTACATGCTGACCACACAGTCATCAATAATAACAAAAGTAATATTTCACAATGAAGGAAAATCACATGTATGGGTTCAACAAGTTTTGATTACACCACACATACATGCATGTAAAGCCCATCTCGTCCAACTGCTCAAAACCTAATGACAGGATTGCACAATGCACCCTATCTTTGATATTGGAGCAACTTTGTTGGTCACCATTGTAAATGGGAGACTTCAAATATGGTTCTGCACTCGGTGTTCAGAAATTCTTCTCGATACCAACTCCTACATCATGCTGTATCATTTGTGACCCAACTTATACCACATCAGCAGCACCACATGTTCTTGTAGCTTCAACATTTACAAGTATATGATAACTGGCATATTCTGACTGAATCCATCCTAACATTAAACCTAGCTCTACATACATCTTGTTACTGAACCACATGTTCAGCCATCAAATCCAGATTATTCTGGATTTAGATTTAAGCAATCTGGACTGATACAGGATAGCCAGATTTGGAGATGCAATACTGAGGAGCATAGTCATACAGAAGCTGACAAAACACCAACACCAATGATCAAATCACACTGATGAGCTAATTCCTTGGGATCAGTATTATGTATTCATTTAGATGCAAACACAAGACATCTTATGTTTGCATCTACATGATTTGGCAAGAGGGTGTTTTGGGTTAATCTCCCTTGAGCAATAATACCAATAACTGATTTGAAAATTGATGCTTAGATGAGGGTTAGGTGTGACATGTACCAATTGCATGGAACACTAACCTTGAGTTTTAAATCATTCAACAGCTATATTGACTGCATTATTATACTTCAATATTGTTTATCCTGACATTTAATCAAGCAAGTTCACAACCCTGGACAGGGTTGACAGCCTGCAATATGGCTCAAAGTCTTTTAGGAACTCACCACAGCAATAGCCTCAGAGGCTCTCATTTCAGGAGGCGGTAGGACAGCCAGGTAAGCCACATTGGCCAGAACGTATATGAAGGTAACCACAGGCAGGGATATGTAGATCGCACGAGGAAGACTCCTTCCGTTGAAAAGAGAAATAAAGAAATCAGTCAACAACAGCACAATTAACAATTATGGCAAAATATTAAATCACTGTGGATTTGCTGGCTAGATTCTACAAACACATACAGCACTTCCCATGGATAGGGGTCTACTACAGAGGTTTGTATTCATTCTATCATAGGAAAGAAATTGTTAGCAATCCAAAATCTTGGCTAAACCAATAATTTTCCCAAAAAAGTGCACAGAAATATGAAAAAAAAGCCTCTGATACATGTTGGCAATAAGTCCACAGTTCTGACATAATACTATAAAGGAAATGGAATACTTGTATGGATCCCTGAGTTCTTCAGTCATGAAGTTGAGATAATTCCATCCAGCATATGAGTAAATACCCTGATAAAAGGCAATTGCAATCTTCCCTGCATCCACCTTGGTCCCTTCAAATGGCTTCTCAAAACTTTCAGTGTGTCCTACAAATGACCATGTGCAAAAATGACCATTTTTGCATTCTACTCCATATAATTTGATTCAGAGATGATGTCCAGCAAGGTGGAAATAAGCCTACCCATGAAGAGATAAGCCATTCCAGCAATGATGATGATGATGATGGCTCCCACCTTGGTGAACATGAACACATCTTGCACTTTGGTGATCAACTTCATATTCCAGCAGTTTATAAATGTCAATAAACCTTTAAGAAACACAAAATTGTAAAAATTACAATATCCCAATCTTTCAGTATATAATTTTAAATGGTGTTGATTGAGAATAAACCTCACATATTGCAAGAGCTGCCAGGAGCTGAACGCCTGCTTCTGGATTCTCACAACTGGGGAAGAATGGTTGAAGTACGTACTTGGCAAAAGTGAGTGCCATGATGGCATTTGTCGTGGGGCTGAATTGAAAAGCAAAAAATAACAATTAAGCCTTTTTGTATCTCAATCGACTCTTTTCACTTTTTAAAATGAACTTGATCCTAGAACTTACACAAAAACAAAAATGGCATCCCACAGGAAGAGGAAAGATGGAAGCGGACCAAATGCTTCGCGTATATAGGCATAATCTCCACCACTCTTGGGAACTGCTGTACCCAACTCGGCATAGCACAATGCTCCAATGAGGGCCAAGAACCCACTGGCAACCCAGATCAATAATGCTGCTCCCACTGAACCAATTTCCTCCAAGACTCCCTTGGGTGACACAAAAATACCTAAAGAGAACAAATAAAATTAGTGGAAACAGGCCATTAAAAGCACTGTAGCACTTTTAAGCAATGGATCCCATGCTTGAGCTAACCTGAGCCAATAATAATCCCAAGAATCACAGACACTCCTTCAAGCACTCCAAGTTCTCTCCTGAGCTGCACTCTTCCTTCTTTTTCAGGCGACCCTTTATCCATTAGTTCCATGCCTTCAGCAGGCATCTCCTCAATGGATCCTCCCATTTTTCCGAAGGGTAAGTGAGAGGTGAGGTAGGCTAGTAGGGATGGGATGGATTTATTGCAGGTCTATTCAAATCACCTCCAAGCTACCAATGAGAAGTGACAGCACTTCAGACAAAGGAGCATTCTGCAACAGAGTTAAACCTTCCATCCCACACGATTATGCCTATGCTCATGTTTTTAACTTTCTATCTGCTTAGGTCTAGCCTAGCCTATGTGTAAAGGTTCACAGAATATAGCCAAGTAACAGCTATAACTTGGTTAGTCGAAGTTCTGCCTAAGTGAGACACAACATCAATATTTGGCGTGCATCAAGTCACACATCTACAAGCTAAGCTCAGGCCTAGAGTGATTTGCAGATGAATTCGTCCTCATTGCGCATCTTACTTATATGGTGCATTCAAGGACTTAGGTGTACACGCCACATGAAAGAAGTTACGCTAACGTTAGTCATTTTGAGCCGATTTTGGCAGATGAAAAAATTCTTTTCTACGTCATTGTACCTAAACCTGCAATTGGGTAAGTTTTGAGCTTCCATCGATACCCACAGGCGTAAAGTTAGCTTCCATATGTCTAGGCCTATCACAAGACATGCCACAAAAGGGACACTCCATGGCACATTGCCAGCTTTTTTGTATAGGCTATCCAGAATTCAATGGTTTCCAGATATAAATAGCTCAATGTACACAAACAAGATCACTTTGCGTCTCCCCACCCCGATTCTTTTGCCAAAAGTCCTAACGTGTGCCTCGTGCGTCGCATGATGCAAGCATGCTGGAAACACGATGCGAGAATTACTGCCATTTCTCACGGTTGCCAAAGTGAACTTTTTTTTTGCAACATTCCGATGCACTATCTTTTTTCCTTTATAGAAGGCATTGACTGGGGCTAAAATCTTTAATGAGTTTAGCTTGAAATTTTTGTACACTTTGCTTAATTTTTCCTTCCAAAACTTTGCCTTACTTCCAAGAGAAGGAATCATTACTTTTCTTCCATTAAAATTCTTTATATTCACTTTATCGTTTAAGCAAGAAATGTAATTAGAAAATGAAAGAAAAATAATTATAAAAATAAAAGCTATGGCATAAAACTCATAAAACAAAACCAAAGCAAAGAAGGAAGGAAAAGCAAAAAATATAAGAAAGTCAAACCGAAAAAATAGCTATTGAATAAATGAAATAAATTTTTAAAAAGTTCCAGCTAGGCTAGAGCATTCCAGGCAATAGGACGCAATGAACTCGTAATGAGGCGAAAGTGGGAGGCGAAACCGAGAATTACATTCCATTCAACGGCGTAGAATCGGAGGGAGGGGGGAGGGAGGACACCTGGGGAGGCACGTGATTACTACCGTTTGCATTATTAAACGACGAGCTGTTGCCCTGTAGCCCTTGAAACATTCAAGACCTCCTAATCGAGGCTAATCGACCACAGTCCGCATTCGGATGAGGCTCGCCATCCAAATTTGGAAAATCGAATTGGATGATGAATGCTTCTGCCATCAGAGACCCTCAATTTACCGGCATGTCTATTATCAGCGAGTTCTCCCACGTGGAGTTCGAATCGGATGAAGTAAAAGACGTGATTCTCGAAATCAGAGACCCGCTATATGCCTACGTGCTAAGTTCCAGTGGGTTCAGTCTTGTAGCATTTAAATGAGACGCACCGTTGGAAATTGGAACACTCAATTGCATCGAATGAAAAATCGCGGATGCCGCGAGGCATTATAGGTCTGCACGGGACGCGGATCGGCTCGATTTCACCGACCCTGCACGGGAATCGGGCGTGTTGATCGGTCGGTGGGTTTTGGGTCGTGTGCGGCGACCCGGAGTTTAGAAGCCGAAACGATCCGTTAAGCTGTCGATAAACGAGTTTTTGGGTTGCCGTTACGGGTTGCTGTTGGGGGTTACCGTTACGGATGAAATGCAAACGGGAACAGAAGGTGAGGGTCAAACTTCACCTCGGTGAATTTCGTCTGGCGCAAATGACTTCTAAAAGGCCAGAGTCGACCGTTTCGGTGATGGCACGTCACTTCACTCAGCTCTCGATAGATGTCTCTCTCATCGGGGGGGGATTCACCTCCCTTTTATTTCCATATTGTTGTTATCGCTGAGGAGACGGTGAGTCTCCAGAGACTCAGTCCGACTCCATCTCGAATTACCTGAACGTTGACGTCGACCAAACTCCCCGGGGATCGAGACAGACAGGCCGCAAATGGCGCTCGTGTGGGCGAATTCACCGAAAAGCAAATGGATCCACTCGAATTTTAATCTAGTAGCGCTGCCATTCGATCCGGATCTTCTCGAAAATTTGCCCCCCGGTGATCTGGAAGAATGCACGCTTCGCTCCATAATGCAAGCTTCGCTCAATAATGCATGCACACCGGAAATGGAAAATGTGACCTTCCATTTTGCTCCAACCCGAGCGATTCTTACTCTCTTCATAGTTCGTCCAAAGACGTAACCGGAAAATGGCGCTGGTGTACAGACATCAACGCTGTCTCTGTCATATCGCTGAGTTACCTATAATGAGCTTCCTCTCTCTTGGAAAAAAAAGATATTACAGAGGTTTGTCTGCGTGTATGTCAATCTTTAGTGTCTGCTAGGGCGACGCTCGCAACGCTTGCGTCACTACACTACTGTACTTGTTTACTTTAAGGCTAATTTTTTTCAATAACTATTAGATGCGGTAAACTTAGCAAAAAAACATTTAATTAAAATATGGGAATTTCGCTAATATGTGCCAAGATCACATACATAAAGGCAGATCGACATGAGCCACCTTTCTTCCGTCTGCGGAAAAAAAAAATTAGCATCCAGAAAGAGAAATCCACCTTAGGCCTAGCCGTCCTTCCTCGTTTCCCCCCCCCCCCCCCCCCCCCCCCCCCCCCCC